AGAGCGTAGACAGCAATTGCTTCATAGATAGCACAAAGGCAACAATTAAGGATCCGTTGTTGCGTCAAGTTGTGCTGCGCTTTCAAAACTGCTAGAATCCAAACATATTTTGACCCATTAATTCAGTTCTAAGTCATAGATATTGTAAACAAAATTGTTTTGCAGAGTTCCACACAATTATGAGACCGGGGACTGCCTTTGGTGGTTATTCAGGCCAGCCGCTATTTCCAGTATCAGTTTGAATAAATGTTGTTGCTCTCAAATACGTTTCCCTGCCACGTTATTGAGCAGTTTTGCTGCTTCTCAAATTTGTTGTGAATAGAATTCCCGTAATGTTGGGAGCAGGAAGTGCTACCGATTGTATTTGAACCTGAGATGTTACTTGCTAGTCTTAACAATCTCGAGCTGCGTTTCTTAGCAAACACACGTTGCGGCTAGATCAACTGCCTGCACGCCGAATCAGGGTTCGCCTACATTGGAATTTGGAGCTCACTGCTTTTCCTGTCGGTAATGGGAATCCGTATTGTCTCTTTTGGCAGTGATCAGTATTGGTTATTTCTCCTGACATCCCATTGGTCCACACAAACCATGTACACGTCCTCCGTAAACACACACACATTCCATAGTGAATGATCATGCAAGGATACTTGTGTACTTTCGATGACCTCGTTGTCGTCTATTTACCACATTTTCCAGCGTCTGACTATATTGTTGTTACTTTTCTGGAAACCGTGTTATCAACCAAATGTCCCCTCCACTTCAAGGTCATCCGATGACAGCTTTCTTTCGGAACTAAATGCTAACTTCCCGATGTTTACGCTCACAATGCAAGTAGAAATAACCTAACTAACTCATGCCTCAACCCAACATGCTGGCGATGGTGTTCTGAGGTTCGTTTGTTTCTGCGATTTGTGTAGGGGAAAGCGTTGGACCTCCGCCTGAATTCATTCCGCAAAGTATCCGACGGCTTCGACGTCGTCCGCGGTCCCAGCTCCCCGCCACGTCCGAGGGTAATTCAGGCAAGGAGGAGGAAGGTGTGGAGAATTACCTCGTGGAAGACGGTGAAATGTCGGTTGTGCGGCATCACGTTGAGGCTGTATAACGCTTTGCTCGTAACCAAGACCTCCCACTTCCTCAGATAACCGATACACTAGATCCCTTACCAGACGCTAGTCACTTCACCCTCTCACACTAACGCAACACAACCCAGGGCCTCATGCAGAGAGCTTTAATGCCTCAGCCAATTTCTCCGTGATCCGTCTAAACGCACCCACTTATAGAAGCCAAGTGTGACCTTGACCTGATAGATGATGCGAGTTGTCTCCACGTGGAAGATGACTCCTGTGATCGTTTCTCTGATTCATAGACCGATTCCAGGTCGGTAGTCCCGTTCGTTCCAACCCTTAATTGGCGTCATAGATTTCGTGCAAGGAGGCTTCTCGTGCTTCCATTTCCAGGGCCTAGGGGCTGTAGAAGTCCTCGAGGAATCATTGTGACCTGCTGGCATTGAGACAGCCTTTGAACAGGTTTGAAATTTGTTGGTATATGTATGGCCAATAGGCCTGGCTGCGTGTGACTGATTTCGTTTAGCCGATACTGGGGTGCCCAGAATGTTCTTTGCGAAGGACAATTGAGTGAAGAGATTTGGGCACGATGATGCGTTCTCTGAACACAGGGATTTGCGTCGCTGAAAAAACTGCTCTAGGTCCCTGGCAATGGAACGCTTGAGCCACGTACCTTGGACGTAGCGGATGGCACGTTGGATGTCACCGACGGTGACTGGGAAGCCGTGGACTACCTGCGATGGTCGCTGAGTGATGCTATCGCTGTCGGGTACGGCAAAACTGACGGCTTTCTCCTCGGTGGTCGATTTGCTGTTGACAGGGACCTGTGGAACCTGCGCGTCTGGGCGAATGGAGCCGATCGATATGGCCTTGAGAACCCAATTGCTTGAACGAATCCGCACCTCGGATATTCGTTCTGATTTTGCTTACATTTTTTGAGCCAGTGGAGGAGACGCTGCACTGCACTTCCAATGTGAGTTGCATTTCTCCGTCACAGGCACCGATAGCTGTGTATGAGGTAGGTCTCGCTGGAGGCCTACCGAGGAAGCGCCATTGTCTCCCTGACGTGATGGCGAGGTCGGAAACTGTGTCCAGCTTTAGAAGAACTGGACAGCTATTTATGAGGACGACTGTCTATATCCTCTGCTGATGCCGATTGTTCTTGGCGGCGACCCATAAGCTGAGTAATGCGATGGTGGAATCGGCTGGATTGGAATTTGATCCCTGCTTTTTTGGAGGCCAGGATGCTGGTTGTTGTTGTTGCTGGACGGGGTTGGTTTGCAGTTATCGTCCTAGTGTCCCATGAAATTGCATTGTTGACACCGATATTGCTCGCATAGCAGGACCTGATAATGTGCCTACCACCTCAGTGACAACACAATGAAGGTTCTCCTTCGCTTTGGGCTGGATTAGCTGATGTCCGACCCTATCTGTCGACGGGGTGGAAGATTCCGGAGTGGGTGGAGATTGGGTGATATGGTGGCTTGCATTAACCCTGGGACCACTGAAGCCCCAACCTTGGGTTATGCTGGAGTCGTGATGCACGCTGCTCTAGTGAGGCTGTTCTCAGCGGATTTCGTCCAGCGTCACAGCGGGATTGTGCTCGAGGAGATGGCGCAGCCGCATTTCGAGATCTGCATAGTTTGGGATCCGTAAGCTGATTCTAAATGACTTTTCTCGCATTCCCGATTGATTACTGCTACGCCGTCTAGAAAGTCGACTAACTCTCTTATTACGAACTTGGGACACTGATATGGGGTACTGAATAACCAGCAAGTTCTCCAAACATCCTCTGGAGATTTTGAATGGGCTCTTCCAAAGTGGGGTCGAGTGGCGATTGTATCAGGATCTCTGCGGTTATTCTGAACCAGATTTACGGAAAAGGAGAGTGACATTCTACGCATGGCCCACGGACGTCACGTCGACACGGACGATGGTACCAAGACTCGAAAGTTACACCAATCTGCGTGTAGTAGAAGAAATCTGAGATGCTGATGGCGAGGTCGTCGAGTGACGGCGTGCAGAAAAGAGAGCGTCCAGAGACCCTGGCGATCTACCAACAGTGACACAAGCCGCTAGAGCGGTTTTCCATCCCCTTTTCGCCCATCTCGTTTTGCTCTAAACCACACATTCCCTCAGATAACCGATACACTAGATCCCTTAATAGACGCTAGCCACTTCACCCTCTCACACTAACACAACACAACCCAGGGCCTCATGCAGAGAGCTTTAATGTCTCAACCAAAGGCACCGTGATCCCACTAAATGCACCTACGTATAGAACCCAAGTGTGACCTTGACCTGATAGATGATGCGAATTAATACAGATGGGTCTGTCATTTGGGTGTCGTGGGTGACTCACCCACCTGTGTGGCGTGGTTATTGGGATTGTGTAAACAATGAATC